AATACCCCTTCCCCCAATCTGCCTTCCCTTCTATCACCACCCCCCTTCTCTTATTCCCTTCCCCTTCTATTTTCCTATAAGGCAGGATAGATTTCTATACCACACTGCCTGTATATCTTATTTCCCAGTTGCATGTAAAAACAATTTTTAACATTTGTTTTAAAATTTTTGGATTCCAAATTCTCTCCCTTTCTCTCTCCCCACCCACCCTCACTGAGAAGACAAGCAACTTGATACAGGTTATACATCTGTAGTCATACAAAACACTTCCATAATAGTCATGTTGTGAAAAACTAACTATATTTCCCTTCATCCTCCACCCGCCCCCCGTTTATTCTAGTCTCTGCTTTGACCCTGTCCCTCTTCAAAAGTTTTTGCTTCTGATTACTCCCTCCCCCAATCTGCCCTCCCTTCTATCATCCCCCCTTCTCTTATCCTCTTCCTCCCTATTTTCCTGTAGGGTAAGATAGATTTCCATACCCAATTGAGTGTGTATGTTATTCCCTCCTTAAGCCAAATCCAATGAGAGTAAGATTCACTCATTCCCTCTCACCTTCCTCCACTTCCCCTCCACTATAAAAGCTTTTTTCTGTCTGTTTTATGTGAGATAATTTACCCATATAATCCTCTCTCACTCCTTAATTTTATTTTTTAGATATCATCCCTTCATCTTCAATTCACTCTACTTCTATATATACACACACACATATATATACACATATACATTATATATAATATACATTATAGATATTTTATATACACATTATATATATACATACATATACATACACACACATAAATATATTTTCCCCCCCTCCAACTATCCTAATACTGAGAAAGGTCTCATGACTTACAAACATCATCTTTCCTTGTAGCAATGTAAACAGTTCTATTTTAATAAGTCCCTTATGATTTCCCTTTCCTGTTTACCTTTTCATACTTCTCTTGAGTCTTGTATTGAAAGTCAAATTTTCTATTCAGCTTTGGTCTTTTCATTAAGAATGCTTGAAAGTCCTCTACTTCATTGAATATCCATTTTTCCCCCTAAAGGATTATACACAGTTTTTCTGGGTAGGTGATTCTTGGTTTTAATCCTAGCTCCTTTGACCTCTGGAATATTATATTTCAAGCCCTCCAGTCCCTTAATGTAGAAGCTGCTAAATCTTGTGTTATCCTGATTGTGGTTCCACAACGCTTGAATTGTTTCTTTCTGGCTGCTTGCAATATTTTCTCCTTGACCTGGGAACTCTGGAATTTGGTTATAATATTCCTAGGAGTTTTCCTTTGGGGATCTCTTTCAAGAGGTGATTGGTGGATTCTTTCAATTTCTATTTTGCTCTCTGGTTCTAGAATAGTAGGGCAGTTTTCCTTGATAATTTCTTGACAGATGATGTCTAGGCTCCTTTTTTGATCATGGCTTTCAGGTAGTCCAATAATTTTTAAATTATCTCTCCTGGATCTATTTTTCAGGTCAGTTATTTTTCCAATGAGATATTTCACATTGTCTTCTATTTTTGGTTTTGTTTTATAATTTCTTGATTTCTCATAAAGTCATTAATTTCCAATTGCTCCATTCTAATTTTTAAGGAATTATTTTCCTCAGTGAGTTTTTGGACTTCCTTTTCTATTAGGCCAATTCTGCTTTTTAAGGCATTCTTCTCCTCATTGCCTTTTTTGACCTCTTTTGCCATTTGGGTTAGGCTATTTTTTACGGTGTTATTTTCTTAAGTATTCTTTTGGGTCTCGTTTAGCAAGCTGTTGACTAGTTTTTCATGCTTTTCTTGAATCACTCTCATTTCTCTTCCCAGTTTTTCCTCTATTTCTCTTACTTGCTTCTCAAAATCCTTTTTGAGCTCTTATGGCCTGAGACCAATTCAAATTTTTCAGACCCGTCCTGGTGCTTGATTTTGTGGTCTTCTTCTGGTTGTATGTTTTGATCTTCTTTGTCACCAAGTAAGATTCTACGGTCTGACTTTTTTTGTGCTGTTTGCTCATGCTCCCAGCCAATTACTTGACTTTTACACTCTTTGTTAAGGTAGGAGTCTGCTTCCAGTGTGGAGGATGTACTGTCCCAAGCTTCAGGGGTTTTGTGCAGCTGTTTTCAGAGATATTTCTAGGGCCTTGTAAATTTTCAGTTCTTCCAAAGTGGTATGATAAGGGGTAAGGTGTTTACTCCTTTCATGGCCTGTGCTCTGGTCTATGAGTGACCAGAAGCACTCTTTTCTGTCTTGCAACTGTGAGGAGGATTCCCTCTCCACCAACACCACAAGCTCTACCACATTAATGCTCCTCCTCGCCCCAGGACCACCACCCAGGACTGTGACCCAGACCCAAGCATGGGCAAAGCAAGAAAATCCTCCCTCAGCACCAGCAAAGAGATCTCTGCAATCCCCCTCTGATCAGTTGTTTAATTCCCCCCTACCATCTGTGGGCCACCACCCCAAGGTTGCACCAGGACGGGTCTGAACCACACTCCTCTCTCGCTCAGGTCTGACAGAACTTACCTACTGACCTTCTAAGTTGTTTTTGGAATTTGTGGGTTGAGAAGTCTGGAAACTGCTCTAGCTGCTAGTGATTCAGTCCCCTGAGACCTGCTCCAGGTTCAATGAGGCCTGGTCTTTGCCTGCATGGCCCACACTGAATTGCACTCCTCTCCCAGGCTGTCCCAACAGACCTTTTTCATCAACCATCCAGGTTGTCTTGGGCTGGAAATTTGTTTTGCTCTGTCTTTTTGTGGATTCTGCTGCTCTAGAATTTGTTTAAAGTCATTTTTTACAGGTATCTGGAGGGGTCTGAGGGAGAATTCAAGCAAGTCACTGTTTTTACTCCACCATCTTGGCTCTGTCCCCTTTCTTTCTTTTCTTCCTTCCTTCTTTCTTTTCTCTTTGTTTTGTTCTTTGTCTCTCTTTTTCTTTCTTTCTTTTTTCTTTCTATCTTTTCCCTTCCCTTCCCTCTGTCCACATAGGGTATATGACACCCTTACCTGAGGGTGCTCTGCCCAAAGGAATGTAAATTTTGATTGATGAAACCTCCAAGGTATCTTGGGGTTTACTGGCTAGATTTTTTTCTTAAAAGACCATGCCTTAAACCCAAATCACTCTGGCTCTCATGGATTGACCAACAATAGGTCCCAGCCCAAGTACCACTTAGTGGTCACCGTTTGGGCCCTGATTGGCTGTGAGTGAATGTCAATGGCAATTGTTTCTGCTTTGGCCAGAAACCCAGAGGATCTTCCCCTCCCATATTGATTCTTTTTTTTGACTAGTTAAAAGAGGTCATTCTCTGCCTCATTTCTTACCTAGCCTTAATCACTGAATGGATTTTGCCTCAGTCAAACTAAGAGCTGTTAAAGACCTTAGCTTAAAAAGGCCCAAGGTCTCCCACTGCATCCAGGCCAAAATCTCCAGTCGTCCTGACCTATGCCTTGCCACTGGACCCAGATGGCTCTGGAGGAGAAAGTGAGGCTGATGACTTTGCACAGCCCTCCCTCACTTAAATCCAATTCACCTGCAAGTCATGGCATCACCTCCCCATGACATTATGATTCTCTTCAAGAAGGAAGGACAAACAACAACAACAACAGCCAGGCACATAATAGGTGCTAAAAGAAATTCTTGTTGATAGATTGTTACGTGAAACTCCCAGTGTGGACACTCTCTTCTTTGATATATATTGCAACTGTCACTGTCTCATATTAGAGAGTTGACATGAGGCACTGAGAGGTTAAGTAATTTGTTCAAGGTCACACAGCCAATATGTGTCACAGGCAGGACTTGAACGCAAGTCTTCCTGACTCCAATGGCTGACTCTATGCACTTCAACACTCTGCACCCTGCTCACTCAGTATCATTAAGTGGATACAAAAGAAATAGAAGACAGTTTCTAAGGAGTTTGCAATCCAGCTGACCAACTTGGCAAAGGCAAAAACATCCTATCTTAGTTTTTTTTGCCCCTCAAATATGATACTTTAACATGACTGATGTGAAACTCTCATCTTTTATTATCTGATATAACAGAAAAACAATAGGACCGGGTGACAGAGGATTTGGGTTCTGGTCCCAACTTAAATGTGTGCCCTTGGGCAAGTCACTTTGACCTCTGTTTCATTATCTCAAAAATGAGAAAAGTGAACTAGACAATCTCTAAAATTCCTCAAAAGTTCTATCACTATGTTAATAGGAGAATTAACACCAGAAATGGAATTCTTCTAACTGCTGTCCGTGTACAAAACCACAAATATGTCTGTCTCCCCACCTTTCCCATCCTATACTCTGGTTTGTGAGCAGAGGGCATGGAAGGTTAATTGGAAGGGGACAGAATAATAGGATCTGAGACTCACAAAGGCCCAACTATTTTATCACCCACAGCTCTTAGCATCTTGGCTCCACTCCTGCTCGCACAAATTTAGCCTCTCCAGAAGTCATTGCCCTGTAGTCATGGCCTCCCCTGCCAAGCAAATTGGCTATGCTTCATTAATCTGAAAGTGCTTCACTGGAGCACTTTCAAGTTCTGTGCAGTTCTCTAATTAGAAAATAGCAATAAGGGGAGCAAAGAGGGGGAGCTCCTAACCTGCCAAGGGCCATTACCCAAAGTTCATTTCTTGGAGGTGATGAGATTTTATTTCAAGTCTGAATTCTTGAAAAAAAAAAAATACCCTTAATCTAGATTTGTGCCAAGAGGGAAACTTTTTGGGAAGCATGCCAACTATAAATCCAAACATACCAGGTCTACTTGATCATTGTTGTTGTTGTTGAGTCTCTTCAGTCCCGTCTGACTCTCCGTGACCCCATTTGGGGTTTTCTTGGCAAAGATACTGGGGTGGTTTGCCATTTCCTTCTGCAGCTCATTTTATAGATGAGGAAAATGAGGCAAACAGGGTTAAGTGACTTGCCAAGGGTCCCATGGCTAATAAGTGTCTGAGGCTAGATTTGAACTCAGGAAAATGAATCTTCCTGACTCCAGGCCCAACGCCCTATCTACTGCATCACTTAGCTGCTTACCTTATATCCAAAAAGAAAGAGTCCAAAGAAAAGACTGTAGAGATCAGCAGTCAGGATGCCCAGGTTGACTGAGGTGGCACTCGTGGCTTTGATGACCATTGGCATGAAGCTATACAGACAGAACATACAGAGGGCAAAAGCCACAAATAGCAGGGCTGCAAAATTAAAAAAAAAATCACAAATAACATCACAGGTGGGAAATAATTCCATTTAGCAAACTTGGCAAATATTTGTTAGGGGCAGACTACACACAGAGCACTAGCCTGGATAGTGAGTGAGATTTAAAAAAAAAAAACAAACTTAGATAAGCCACAGTACATATATAGTCTGGTAGGAAATATGGCACACACACAAAAACTGGACTAAAAAGTAATATAAAATGACTGCGTAACAGAAGTGAAGGCAGGGTTGTGTGAGACAGGGTAGGGATAGGGGACGACTAGCATCTAGAAGTCATGTTCAAGGTACACATACTTTGATAGCACATATCAACATTCTTCCCAAGTAATATTCTGTCAGTAAAGCGAGAGAAACCAAGTTTTCCAAGGGGGGAAAAAAAGATGAACATATTTCTAGCTCAGGGGTTGGAAATTTCTGGGAAGAAGCCAAATGAGTGGATTGAAATAGATTATGTCTAAGGTGCCTTTGAGCTTTAAAATTCATTTCTAGGACAGTTAGCTCAGACTCGGGCAGGGGGTTGTTTATTCTCCCCAGCTCAAATGAGAAGAAATCTGCTGCCTTTCTCTGCCTTTCCAAGTCAGCAGAGCAAAGCTTTCTAATTATTTAGCTCATTATTTTGCTCAAAAGTCAGAGGTCATTTAACATTTTCATTAACAAAAAATTACTAAATGCTTAACAAGGGCCTAGTCTGCAGCAGTCACCCTTTTTCAAAGGTGATGATGAATATTCCCAAACGGGTCTCCAAACCTGAGACTTGCCTATCTACAAATACTATTTATCGATAAAGCTCTAGAGGACATTCAGATTCTAGAAAAGGGATTGAACTAGATGCCAGTGAGGACCCTTCCCAGTCAAAGATTCTAAAATTCTATGACTGAATAGGATTTGATATTTACTTTTCTTCTGCATGTGCTGTTACCATTCCTCAATAAAATGTAAGCTAGTTAAGGTCAGGGATTTTTTATTTCTGTTTTTGTATTTCCAATGCCTGACGTTATTGTTCAGTCATGTCTGCCTCTTTGTGACCCCATTTGGAGTTTTCTCAGCAAAGTTAATGGAGTGTTTTGCTATTTCCTTCTCCAGCTCATGTTGCAGATGAGAAAACTGAGGCAAACTGGGTTAAGTGACTTGCCCAGGGTCACAGAGCTTGTAAGTGTCTGAAATCATATTTTAACTCAGTAAAATAAGTCTTGCTGAATCCAGGCCTGATACTCTATCCACAATGCCACCTAGTTGCCTAATACCTGACATAGTTACTGTTTAATAACTGCTTTTTGAATGAATGAGGAAAGTATATTGTGAATCTTAAAGTACTAGATAAATGTGAATTGTCACTTTGGTACAGACCTGCAATTTCATTGGTATAAGAAACTGCATACGAGAAAAATTCTGCCAATGCAGGCTGACAACCTTTTTGCCACTTATAGTCTTCAAGAGTTGCCTGAGGCATTGAGAGGGCAGGTTGCTCATTCAGGGTCACCCAGCCAATATATATCCAGTGGCAGGACCTGAACCCACATCTTCCTGACTTTGAGGATGGTTTTCTGTCAATTATGCTATGCAAACTGTTGTGATTATTATAAATTGTAATGACTCCTTTTTTTGGTTCCTGATTGGCTCAATTTCTATCACCTGGCTCTGAATCAAGGCTGTCAAAGGAGTTGGATAAACTCAAGGTCCCTTATATTTGCTGTATGCTGCTAATGAGGTAAGTAAGTCCAACATACTGTGATAGCACAGGAGACAATGGAAGGGCAGTGATCCACCACTAGTCTTAATAAAGGACATAAGTGGTAACAACTCTCTGCAAGAATTCTTTTTTTTAACTGAATTATGCAAATTCTGCAGGTTGCATTACTTTGAAATTCATCACTACAGATAATTTCTCAATAACAATTTAGATTATTAGAAACGAATTGTCCAACCACATGTCAACCCCTAGGCAATGGGGTTAAGTGACTTGCCCAGGGTCATACAGCTAGTAAGTGCCAAGTGTCTGAGGCCACATTTGAACTCAGGTCCTCCTGACTCCAGGGCCGGCGTTCTACTGTGCCACTTAGCTGCCATCTAGCTGCCCCCTGGTAGTATCTTAAAATAGGACTCAACATGAGTTACTGTTAGGGACTTTCTTTACAAAGTCGTTTCTCAACACGGACACTCAATCATACTAATAAGTGAGGCTGCTTGGTGTAGTGGTAGAAAGAACCCAGGACAGAGTCCAACAAGATCTGAGTTCAAATACTGCCTCTGACACTACTTGCATGACTACAGGCAAATCACTTCATCTCTATGATCCTCAGTTTCTTTATCTGTAAATTGGGGATAATAATACTATAGTACCTCTCTCATAAGATGATTATGAGGATCAAAGGAGAGCATATATTTAAAGTACTTTGCAAACTTTAAAGTGGCAGGTAAATTTGTTATTATCACAAGAGGATTAGTTGAATTCAATCCAACCCAACAAGCATTTATGCAGTACCTACCATGCACAAGGCACTGTGCTGGGACCATGGCTACAAAGACAAATCCAAAGAAGAATCTTTGCCCTCAAGGAGCTTACATTCAGCAATTCAGCATGTAAACAGATAAGAGTATATACTATAATTTGGAAGAAGGAGCAAGAATTAGGATTAAAGAAGAAGAAGCATTTGAAAACTTTTCACCAGTCTTTACAAAATTACGAGGTGTGTAGTAGACAATGCCATAGTAGTCAATCCTGAGATTTCTTTGGACCATTGCCAACCAATACCCATAGAAGCCAACTCCATTTGTTTTAACCAGGTGGGATGTCCTAGCTTTTATTCAGGGCCAGACAAGATTAACCTTTGGTCACACTCAGTCACATTTATATCGGGGGAATGCCAGGATTAAAGGAGACTTCCCATATGAGATGGCACATGAGCTGAGTTTTGAAGGAACCTAAGGATTCTAAGAGATGGAACTAGGGTGGAGGGGAGAGGCATTCCAGGCATAAGGAACAAATGTAACATATCTAGACTTGAAGAACATACTTAGGTGAGATATGACAGCTACTTTTGAAGAGCCATCATACAGAAGAGAGATTACATCTACGCTACTTAACCTTCAAGGACAGAGTTTACAGGAAACAAATTGTGGCTCCTTAGAAAACTTCTCAACAGTTAGGATTGTCTGAAATCGGAGATGGGCTACCTTGTGAAATAGTGAGTGTCCCATCACAGATCATCAAGCGAACACTGAGCAACTGCTGGTTAGGGACATTGTGGAGGGAACTCATGATTTGAATAGGAGGTGAATGAGAACTTCTCTGAGGTCCCTTCCAACCCTAACAATTCTCTAAGCTTTTCCTTCCTTATCTCACAGTGATATAAGCTGTAAATCCTGTGTTAAATTGTCTTTGGTATTTTCTCAGGGTGTCATCATATATATTAATACTTGAAGATGTGGAGGGAGAGGAAGAAATAATACATTTTTCATGATTAAATACAGATTTCTCAAGTCAATACCTAACAAAGACAGGGATAAGGACAGTAAAGACTTTACAAAGGTCTTGGTGACCTTGGCATTACCCTGACATAAATGTGGCTGAGTGTGATCAAAGGTTAATTTTGTCTGGCCCTGAAGCAAAAACATCCCACTTGGTTTTAGTGTTAATCAGAGTGTTAATCAGCAAGGGTCCAAGGAAACCTCAGGATTAAGTACCTTAGCATTGTCTATTGAACACTCCATGATTTTGTAAAAGCTGGTGAGTTTTCAAATGCAACTTTTTTTCCTGAATGCACTTAATCAATTGATCAACAAGCATTTATTGAGTACCTACTATGTGCTGAGCACTGTGCTAGACCATTTCACCATCTTCCACCCAAATTCACACACACTCAGTAATCTCCAGTGGCTCTCTATTACATCCAGGATTAAATATGAAAGTCTCTCCTTGGCATTTAAAGCCCTTTACAACTTAACCCCTTCCTACCTTTCCAGTCTTCTTACACTTTATTTCCTTCTACATGATCCAGCCACACTGACCTCCTGGCTGGCTATTCCTCACACATGACTCTTCATCCCCTAACTCAGTACATTTGCATTGGCTGTCCCCTCTGCCTGGAATGCTCTCTTTCCTCACTTCCAAGTTCCAGATTCCCTGCCTTCCTTCATGACTTAGCTCACATTCCATCTTCTCGAGTTTTTTTCCAGGTTCCTTCATCCCAATACTAGTCCCTTCACTCTAAGATTACCTTCTATTTATGCTGTATATATCTTGCATGTACATAGTTATTTGCATGGTGTCTCCCCCCATATAATGTGTGTTCTTTGAGGGCAGGGACAGTGTTTTTGCATTTCTTTATATCCCCAACACTTAGTACAGTACCTGACACAAAGTAATTGTATAATATACTCTGTTGTTGACTGACTGATTTGGGTATGTGGAATAACTAAGAATGAGAAGTTTTAGATGATAATGAGGTCAACCTGCATGACTGGCAGAATGATGGTAATGGGAAAGAAATAGGGAAATTCTGAAGGGGGGTGGGATTGGGGTAAAGGTTCTGTTTTGCACAAGTTCCACTTGATATGCCTATAGGACATCCCACTGGAAAATCCAATATGCAACCGGTGATTCAGAATTACAGTTGAGAGCAGAAATTAGGATTGGAAATATAGATCCTAATGAGATAAATGAAAGAATCATAATTGAAAGGTACTATCATTCACAACATACCAATTTTCCAGTTCCAATGAATGTCAACAATATCTTGATATTCTATAAGTACCCTGAATAAAAGTTAGAAAATAAAAAGTTAGAATGTAAATTTCATATATTACTTTTAATACCTACTTTGCATATACTTTAGGTAAGGGATTATCATCTTATATGGGGATCTGTATATCTCTTATGTATTTTACTCCTATTAACAAGGAATTTCTTAAGACTATACAACAGATAGCAGAGGAAATTAAAATGGGTTCCTAAAGAACTTAACTTTCACTCTCCCATATTTTATAATAGTAGATTTAATTCTAAAGAGGTAGAAAAAGCACACTTTGTCTTCCCTCTCAAAATCTGTTGATGAAATGTTGATGTCCTAGAAATGATTAATAGAAGCGAGGCTCCATTATATACACCATTATAGAATTAGAGGCAGGAGCCCTAAAGACCTCATACATTTCTTTTTAATATATAATTAATTTATTTTGACCTTATACATTTCAACAAATGAAGGAAAGTACAAGCCATTTTCAATATTCCTATAAGAGCCAAACACAGGCAGTGATACCAAGTGAGCTTAACAGAATCTAAACAGCATGAATGTAAGCTATAACTAGATACAAAAAGGAAAAAAACAAAGTAAATAGAGATTCAGATAGATCCAAAAGTAGACACAGAGCAAGTTATCTTTGTTGGTTTGTTTGATCTCAATTTGTTAAGATGTATAGTATAATATTAGTAATTTTTCTCTATTTGATCATTATTATTATTATTATCAATCATAATAGCTAATATTTATGTGGGCAAATAGGTAGCACAGCAGATAAGAGTACCTGGCCTGGAATCAGGAAGATTCATTTTCCTGAGTTCAAATCTGGCCTTAGACATTTACTAGCTGTGTGACCCTGGGCAAGTCATTTAATACTGTTTACCTTAGTTTCCTCATGTGTAAATGAGCTGGAGAAAGAAATGGCAAACCACTCCAGTATCTTTGCTAAGAAAACCCCAAATGGGGTCACAAAGAGTCAGTCACAACTGAAACAAGTGACCAACAACAAAAATATTTATGTAGCACTTTCAGGTTCATAAGCACTTTACATATATTATCATGTTTATTCCTCAAAAAACCCTATGAGGTAGGAATATCTGTATTATCCTCATTTTACAGACAAGGAAACCATAGCTGAGAAAAGTTAAAGACTTACCCAGGATCACACAACTAGAAAGTATCTCAGGTAGGATTCGAACTCAGGTCTTCCTGACTCCAAGTCCATCCTGATTCTATCCATTATACCACCTAGCTTCCTCTTTAAGCTGTAAATGGCTTAAAATTAGGGTTTTAGCTAGAGATTTACCCCATGTTCAATTATTAATTAATTGATGTTTCCTATAACTGTTGAGTATATACAAATGATTAACCTTTGAGACCAAAACTGAAATAATTTTCTGAAAGCTCTATAGGATTTAAGCCAAATTAATTAATTTTCTTAATAGTTTCAAATCAATAAATATCATTTAGTAGTAGGAGAGTCATCATGTGTGCTGTATTTTCTTATCATAGCATAAAGGAAAACAATAGAACCTTACAGCTGGAGACCGCTGATAAATGTCCCAAACAAGCCCACCATGCCTAGAAACTCTACTCGGCTCAGCTTTTTCACAATGTACTCCTCACACACATTAGAAACGGCATAGAGAGAAGCTCCAAGAAGAACTAAGATGTCACCAATCAACACATTACTTCCTGTATGAGAAAAGGAAAAAAATTAAGCCACAATAAAAGGACCCCACTATCAATATTTCTACCTCCGTTGGATAAATCCTGGGGCAGAACAGGAGAGTAGTGTAGGAAGGGGAATAAGGACAAGCTAGCTGCTTGTTGTTCATGGCCACGGCTAGGGGTAAGGAATGGACTTGTGTGATTTTATTGGCCTAACACCTAGACGGGAATTCCTCATGCCAGTGAAGGTCAGCAACTTAGAGTCTTGGAGAGTTTTCTAGGTCACTGAGAGGTTAAATTACTTACTCAGGTTCACATAACCAGTAAGTATCTGAGTTAGGTCCACAAAACACAGGTTTTCTTGTCTCTTAAGTCCATTCTCTGTCCCCTATGCCATGCTGCCTGTCCACCACTGCTGTGAATACCATTAGACACTTTGGAAGACGTACCTCAAGATTTGAAAGGTTGAAAGTCTATGGAATGTAAGGCTGCAGCTTGAAGGATGATGCCATCTGTGGTGATGGGGCTATGAATTTTTTTTAATATTTCTTCCTGCCCTCAGACTTTTCTTTAGTCACCAGGAAGATGAGGCTCAACATAGAATACCCAGGAGGTTCAGGTTTTCAAAAAATAATGGCATCACCAAACATAGATAGACCACATCAGTTTCCAAAAATCACAGGAAAGGAAAGAATTGTTTCAATGCTTTTCTCAGTTTTAGCCCCAAGGGGATGATGGGGGGAGGGGGTGTATAAGTAAAATGCACACTCTGCCTCAGTTTCATTTTTCACCTGAATTTGGAGACAATGGGAAGCTTTTTATCTGCAAAAAGATCTAAAGAGAAGTCACCCAGTGAATATATATTACCTTTTTTTTGAAAAAAAATTATTTATTTTTAATTTATGGAATAATATAAGTATTTCCATGACATAGTATAATAAAAAAGGGTGATTACACATGAAACTGCAAATGTATTATGTACAACTTGCTATTCCTTTTAAATATATAATAGTTATTGTGCAGATTTCTTTTTTATATTATCTTTTAAAATAAAAAAATTCATAGCAAACTCAGAGTCTGCCACAGATACTCAGGAAATTAATTCAAATTTTGGAGCTTCAAGAAGAGGAGGGTTGGGGGCAGCGAGATGGCGTAGTGGATAGAGTACCGGCCCTGGGTTCAGAAGGACCTGAGTTCAAATGCGGCCTCAGACACATAACACTTACTAGCTGTGTGACCCTGGGCAAGTCACTTAACCCCATTGCCTAGCCAAAAAAAAAAAAAGAGGAGGGTTAATACAAACAACTGAAGGGAAATAATGAAGATTATTCTTTCCCAAAGCAGGAAATACTTGGTAAGGAAAAAAAGCAATGTCAAAAAAAAGATAGAGGAACTATCTATGGGCATCTAAACATTTAAAATTTGTATAGAGCTAGGAAAAACTGTAGAAATCATCTTGTCCCACCTCTGCATTATACAGATGAAAAAACTGAGGCTCAGAGGAATGAAGAGATCTGTCCAAGATCTCAGAGAGCTAATGCCATGATTGGCATCCAGATCTCTTGCTTCCGAGCCCAGGGCTTTTTCCACAACATTACCCTATTGACCATATTCCTTTGTTATTAAATTAAGGAAATTCCATACTTCTCTCAACATCTTCCAAAAACAGCCTTACAATATAAACTAGGAGAAAATGAACTTGAAAACCTAATTTTAAATTTACCCAGGGAGTCTATCTGGTGTCTGTGTGCCTTAATTATCATTATTTTAAGTTCAAATGTCTCCAAAAGTGTCTATAAGGCAATGCCTCGGACTGAGAAAGAAAATCTTACCAGAATTGTTATCTCTCCCAGCTAATATGTCAGCACCAACCATTGTTCCTACTCCCAAAAGACAGACGGCCACAGCAATAAAATGGATCACTCTATATCTTGCATGAAGAACAAACCATGAAAGGGCCATCAGAACTGGAATCCCAAAGCAGTCCAAAAGCTGTTTACATGGAGAGGAACAATCTGCTGTTAAACTAGCCTGGATGAGTGCTAGGGGAGTGATGAAATGGATCTGATGCAAGGATGGCCAACACCAACCCACGAGCTCACCCATCCCAACAGGGTCCACAACAGCTAATGGTCCCATTCACTCTCTTCCATCCTACGCTGACAATGGCAGGTTAATGATCAGAACAACTCACATTTCTATAACCTTTTAGGGTTTTCTTTTTGAAGTTCTGTTGATGCCTTTTGTTTTTAAAGCATAATTACATCCAGATATGCTATCTTTACTGAGCTGGTGAGAGGCAGCTAGATGATACAGTGGATAGAGCTCTGGGCCTGGAGTCAGGAAGACTTTGGTTGAAACCCAACCTCAGGTACTTACTAGCTGGATAACCCTGGGCAAGTCATTAAACATCTGTTTGCCTCAATTTCCTCAACTGTAAAATGGGGATAAGACCTACCTCCCAGGATTGTTGTGCAGATAAAATAAGAAAATATTTATAAAGCATTTCACTGGCTATTAACTGTCTGTGTTGATCTTGATCTTGATCTTGATCTTGATCAAGTCACTTAACCTCTGTTTGTCTCAGTTTTTTCAACTGTAAAATGAGGATAAGAATAGCACCTATCACACAGGGTTGTTATAAGGATCAAAAGAGATAGTATTTGTAAAAGCACTGGCACTATACAAATGCTTATTTTATTCCCTTCCCTTTCGACATTTAGCAAGCCTTTTCTTTTACAAAGAAAAACAGCTAAGCAATGCCAAGTGACACAGTGTGCATGTATAAGTTAAAATATCACCAAAACTGTTGATTTTTCAAGGAAAGGGGGGTGCATTAGAGTCTCTCCTCTGGTGCCAAGATTGGTCATTATAGTTGAACAGCACCAGTTTCATTTTTGTGTTCTTTTCCTTTACAAATGCAGTAATCAATGTCTATGTCACTTTCCTGGTCCTGCTTACACTACTCTGCATCAGTTCGTTCATGCAAGTATTCCCACACTTGTCTGGATTCTTCACATGCATCAATTCTTATGGTTCACCCTTTAAGGTTTGTCAAATACTTTCCTCACAACAACCCCCAAAAGTAGATACTTTGAGAATTTTTTTTTCATTTTACTGAGGTACTGAGAGTTTAAGTGACTTGCTCATGATTACATAACTTATTAGTTATATGATCACAGGTTTCTGAGGGAAAATTCAAATCTAGGTCTCCTGGCTCTGAGTCACAGAATCATAGATACAGAGTTGAAAAGCCATCTAGTCCATTCTCCTCATTTTAGAAGAGAAAACTGAGACCCAAGGAAGTTAAATGATTTGTCCAAGGTCACAGAGTAATAAGCACCAGAGATGGGATTTAAAGCCAGGTCCTTTGACTCTAGAGTCAATGCTCTTTTTTTTCCCTTTTTTATTTTGGTGGGGAGGGGAGGTGTGTGGATAGGATAGAGTAAACTTTAAAAAAAAATTTTTTCTATTCTGAACTTAAAAATCAACCAAAACAAGCACTTCTATATACATAGCAGAATAAAAAAGAAGGCCTTGTACATGGAATTGCGAATTTCTATTATATACAGCTTGCTTTTTTTAAATATATACTAAGTTCAACATGCTACTTCCAAAACTGTCTTTTCTGTGATTCTTTCTGGCTTCCTTTCAGTTCTTTCTCTGCTTTTCAAACATATGTTTTACTGACACTTTTATTTATTTGGGGGAGATGGTAATCCTATCCCTAGTACCCTTTCCCCCTCCCCAATCTCTACCCTCCTATTGAGAAAAAAGAAAACCAAAACCTTTGTAACAAATATGTATAGTCAAGAAAAATAAATTCCCACATACACAGTGTTTTTAAATATGTCTTATTCTGTACCCTGATTCTATCGCTTCTCTGTCAGGAAGTAGGTAGCTTCATCATCAATCCTCTGGAACCATGTTTGATTATTGTAACAATCAAAGTACTTAAGTCTTTCAAAGTTGTTGTTTTTATACCATTGGTGTTATTTTATAAATTATTCTCCTTCTATTCAATTCATTCTAAACCAGTTCATACCTATCTTTCAAGGTTACCATCCCTTTTATTATCTTTTATAGTGCAATAACATTCAACTATATTAATATACCATAATCTGTTTAGTCATTCCCTAATTGATGGTCACCCTTTTTGTTTCCAGTTCTTTGCTACAATAGAGAAAGCTGCTATGAAAATGATTGTACGTAGGGTCCTTTTCTACTTTCTTTGATCTCTTTACAGTATAGGCCTAGTAGTGGTATCATAGTTTCAAATTGCTTTCTAGAATAGCTAGACCAAGTCACCATTCCAAATTGGCTGGACCAATAATGCATTAGTGTGCCTATTCTCCCATAGCCCCTCCAACAACCTATAATTTCCATTTTTTTGTAATCTTTGCTAATCTGGTGGATGCAAAGTAGAACCTCAGAGTTATTTTAACTTGCATTTCTCTAATTACTAGTGATTTGGAGCATTCTTTCACTGACAAGGAATCTCCCTCTCTCCCATCCCTCAATAATAATTAAATAGTTCAGGCATAATAACCCTTTGGTTGACATTGAAAGGAGTTATCTCTTTCACTGCCCCCAATTAAGCACTTTTGAACCAACCCAGGGGAAAGGTCAATGTAGCTTAGCAATGATAACACACACAATGTAGCCTAGCGCTGACTTATAAAAGGCACCTTTTATGTGTACTTTACTTTCATTCCTGGGTCTTACATATGTACTTATTTATGATTTACTTTCACATTTAGTTGTACGTCAATCGATGCTTATATCATATTCTTCTGTCTGTAAAAACTGAGATTCTCGCATGCTAATAATGTTACTAGAATTAGGAAGTTATTAAGGAAGTCAGAATTTTCCAAGCATTAGCAATCTCCTTTCTTCCTTCAAACCAACTGGTGTTTGCCTTTCTCCATCCTATTCTCTGACTGCACTAAGAAAAGATACTAAATTCAATTAATTCTAAGCACCTTAAGGGCAGGGGCTATGCCTCAATAATTCATTCAGCACCTTCTAGTACAGAGCATTGTGCTAGTCCCTGGGGGGAGACAGATAGAAAGTTTCCCTAAGGCATTGTCCCTGTCTTACAGAATTAATACTCCAATAAGTTCTAAGCTCTCTGTATCCTGAGCAATCCCAGACATTATTGAGCTCAATAAACACTTTCTGGTTGGTTGTTGAGATCCTTTGAGTCTCTCTATTTGGGTATAAGCCCTGGATGAAGTCCTACAAACAGAAATCACCCAAATCAAATAGACTTTATTTATTTTTTATATTGAAGACCTAACTTCTATATTTCAAAATTAAATACTGTCTTTGGTGTGGAACAGTATTGAATAGGTACCAATGAGATGGGAAAGAACCTCAAATGTGAAACAGTACTGTTACCCAAAGGAAACAACAATGCTACAGAACCACAGGAAATGAAACTTCTCAAATATTGACCTTTTCCCTCTTGGCTCTGGAAAATGGCAATATTTTGCTCTGAATTCAGAAGTAACTTCTAACCATACAAACCAACCGGGAATGCCAGTTTCCAAAAATCTCTCAGAAAAATAATAGGGATAGGGACTGGGCCTGTGATTAGTATAGAGGACTCCCAGGTAAGGAAATTTCCTTTACCCTGCAAATCAGGCAGCACCTACAACTTGCAGACAGAGAGCTACCTAGAACAACTTTAAATGACCCGCTCAAGGCTATGCTGCCAAAATGGGTCAGAGGTGAAGATGAAGGAGGATTAGGAGGAGGAGGGGGGAGAAAATGAGGAGAATTAGCAGGAGGAGGAGGAAGAAAAAGGAAGGAAGGCAGGAAGGAAGGAAAGAGAAAAAAGAGAGAAGGAAAGAAAAAGAAAGAAGGAAGGAAAGAAAGAAAAGAAAAGAAAAGAAAAGAAAGAAAGAAAGAAAGAAAGAAAGAAAGAAAGAAAGAAAGAAA